TTGAATCAGCTGTGTTCCAAGAATGCTGCAGGTTGTTTGGCATCTGAAAGACCAGGACAGCGCGACTGCACCCACAGTCTGATGGGATGGTAGAAAAGTGCAACTGGACATTGGGACAGGAATTGGCAAAGTTTTGTAATAGCCGCCAAGATGACTGGGATGTCCTACTCCCTCCACTATTGATGGCCTATAGGACAGCAGAGCATGAAACCACTGGATACACTCCAGCAAAGTTGATGTTTGGTCGGGAACTTCGGTTGCCAGTGGATCTGTTAACAGGACGCCCACCTTATGAAGAGTTGCCTGAGAATGTGTCAGAGTTTGTGAAAGTTGCATTGGAAAGAATGGATGATATTCACAATCAAGTGCGTTCAAACTTGAAAACGTCTGCTGATTCGATGAAGTTGTCTTATGATAAGAGATCTACTGAAGTCAGCTTTGAACCAGGAGACAAGGTGTGGTTGTATAATCCCAGGAAGACCAAAGGGAAGTCTCCTAAGTTGTCTTCTCTATGGGAAGGCCCATATGACACAGTGGATCGTCTCTCAGACGTGACATTCCGAATCAAATGTGGACGGCGAGGTAAGCTAAAAGTGGTACATGCCAACAGGCTTTGGCGTTATCACGGTCCAGGAAATTTCAGTTGGGATGAAGTGAACAACAGAACAAATGACGCTGCTGAAGACGTGTCACCTGAAAAAGCCAACATTGAAGAAGAAACTCTACTCAGTTTTGAGAAGGGAAACGGTGAAGCTCTTGATGAAGTTACTACCACTGATGTGACTGTTATCGACGATAGAACATTTCCTGATGAAGCAGATGAACCCCATATAAAGCAGAAGCCAACGAGATGGAGACCAGTACGGAAGAAGATATGTCCCGTAAAATTAAGAGACTTTGTTGAATTGTAATTTTGTGTTTGTAATTCTCGTACATTTAATTAAGTTATTGTTAATTGTTATTGGTTTATTGTAAGTGGCTATTATTCGGGACGAACAATACTAAGGAGGGGCAGTGTTGCGTCAGCGAGGTCACGTGATGTGTATCACGCCACGTCCTTTTAGAAACATCCTGTTCCTTCATGAATGCTCTAGCGTTTACTAGATATGTGTTAGTGTTGTATATATAAGACGGTCACAACGTGACGGAACGGAGAATGTGCAATTGAACTGCAGAGGGAGAATATTGTTGAGCACGTGAGACGTTCGTTGAGAATTATAGTGTTTGTTATAGCGCGACTGTTGAAATTAAGTGTATCGCAAATTTATATTCAGAAAGAATAAACCAGTTTTATTTAAGAAAGGACTTCTATCGGTAAAGTTTCTTTGGAAAGAATTTTTACGGAACATTAACTAACGAACGGAGACGTAACAATATGAGGGGTTATCAGCCTCAGTTTCAATGATTGATTCCTCCAAGCATATATTTAATATTCTTTACTTCTTCATGAAGAAAATAAATATTTCGTGAGGTCTTAAAATTGATTTTAACCAGTTTTTTAATTATTTAAAAAAGTAAAACTTTAAAATATTGTTACGTCTCTGTTTGTTTGTTAATTTCCCGTAGAAATTCTTTCCGAGAAACTTCAGCACTACATGTCGTTTCTTAAATAAAACTAGTTTATTCTTTCTCAATACAACTTTGCAATACACTTAATTTCCACAGTCACTTTAACTTAAACACACGCCATAATTCACAACGATTCACGCACTTTACTTACAGTCACCACTACCACTCACTTGACTCAATTATCTGTCTATCTGCAATTATCTATGCCGTCACTTCTTTTGCTGCCTTATATATATATACAAAAATAGAGGGCGCGAAGAAAAGACTAGAGTTGCCACGAACAGACATGATCCTTTTAGAATCTCATGACGTGTTACTACGTGACTTCCTTAGCATTGTTTGTCCCGAACAATAGCCATTTAAATTAAACCAATAGATAATTAACAATAACTTAATTAAATGTGCAGAATTTACAAACACAAAATTAAAATTCAACAAAGTCTCTTAATTTTACGGGACGTAGCTTCTTCCGTACTGGTCTCTCTTGTTTATTTTGCTGTTTGAGCTGCCACTGTTGCAGGTTTTCTTGCCACTGCTGTTGTCTCTCTTCTTGTTTCTTTTCTTTTTCCTCTAACCACTGCTGTAATTTCTCTTCTTGTTTCTTTTCTTTTTCCTCCAACAATTGCTGTTGTCTCTGTCTTCTTGTTTCTTTTCTTTTTTCTCCAACAACTGCTGTTGTCTCTGTCTTCTTATTTCTTTTCTTTTTTTATTTTCTCACTCTTCTTGTTTCTTTTGCTTTATTTTCCATCCCAATTTTGACACCAATTTGTTACGTCTCTGTGTTCGTTTGTTAATTTTCCGTAGAAATTCTTTCCAAAAAACTTCAGGGATACAAGTCTTTTCTTAAATAAAACTAGTTTATTCTTTCTCAATACAATTTTGCAATGCACTTAATTTCCACAGTCAATTTTCTTAAACACACGCTAGAATTCACAACGATTCACGCACTTTACTTACAGTCACCACTACCGCTCACTACCTTCTAGAATCTCATGACGTGTTACTAGAGTCACGTGACTTCCGCTGTCGTAACAATATGAATAAAAACCAATGAAAGTACGCTTAAGATAAACTTCAGTGATCACGTTCATTTTATTTGATTACTTAAGTCTTAGGACAATAAAATGTACAAAGATGATAACATTCTTCTTAAACACTTATGTAGGATCATACATAAGCACGTTTAAAAACAACATCCATTGTTGGTTACACAATAAACATAATTTTATTTGAGAATGATCTAGTCTAAGATACATTCTAACTCCACATATTTCGACGTTTCTGACATCCGAAGATGACATCTTGAAAAGCGTTGAAACATATAGAGTGATAACGTTTTATCATGTAACCAAAAAAAAAATGTTTTTAATTGCAATTATTTATCTGAGAAGAAGAATTTGTCACAATTTTGATTTTCAACAGTAAATTTTATGTTTAAAATACTGCTGTTTGAACACTACAGAAATTTAGCAACATGTATGACGTTGTTAGAAGCCACTAAAGTATCATCCACATTTATTCCATAGTACATTGGCTTAAATTGTTAAGAACACGATTTTAACCAATTATAAAAATGCTAAAAGGAGATTTGTAAAATTAGGGACAAGACTAAAGTCCACATCCTCCCCAATTAAATTTTCCCATGATATATAAGTTGCGATTATTTTGTAAAATAGCTTAAATGTTTTAGAAATAACTTTTAGAGTACTTTGTGCCATTTTGTCGTCAGAAAACCAAAACAGATTTGTCCACAATTAATGTTTTTTATCCAGTGATCTATTTTCGAAAAATGATCATAATCACTACTAACTGTTACTTATCATCAAATCGTATTTGTTTACACCTGTACACAAATTTGAATGTATTGTCTTTAAAACTGATTATTCATACTGAAAAAATTATTTCAAAAACTGAATCAGAGAGTTTTCTATGGCTACTTGTGAGTGTGACAAGCACGTAATAATATGTTTTCTACTTTCTCTTGCGAAATATAAATTGTAAAAACATTCAGTTTTGTTTATTTGATTTCTGCACTCTAACCATGGCAACACTGGCCCAGACAGTCACCTTGTTTTAGTCGCTTCATTTCTTTGTTCTCTGTAGTAGGTGATGTTTCTCCTGCCTGCAAGGATATTGCAGTAATGTGTATAACATCCAGGTTAAAAGGATTGGTGTTTTAATATCCTCTGCTGGCTGATTATGACATTCACTGAATGAAACAGCTGACCAATGCTGAGAGAAAAGAAAAGGTCACGGGATGACGCTGTCGACTAGTGGATCTATCTAATCTAGATCAGGATTTATTTCTAGTGTAAGTCCTATAAGTCCTAGGAGGGCCAGGTGCAGTGGTTGACCTCTTCCGCCTGTTGACTGGACAAAGATAACGAGTTTACCTGTTGAATTCCAACACAGTTTCTTAGTTCAATTCTATTGAGATATTATAGAGTGAAGACTTGCATTTATTATACATCACTGTGTTTAGTTCAATGCATGTCTTGAGAGAGACTAAGCACAGCCTAGTAGAAGTGACTGCCATTTTGTATGTATGCAAGTAATTATGCTATGTTTTCTTTGTTTCTATTATATGATAAAGATTGTATTTATTTTTACCAACTCTGTTCAGTTTCTTTATTTCACACACACTAAGAAGACTCAGTTAAGTTTTCTACTATGGAACACTCCCTTATTTACTGAGAGAATCTGCTGTTATTGCGGGTTAATCTACCTTAACCTTTCTGGAAATCGGTTTTATTTTAAAGTACCATAGGAGCACTAACTCAAGATACAGTCCATGGGTTCAGTGGCATATATCCCCTTGTGTACCGTAGTTATCTCATATAAAACATTATGAACATATTCGTCGGATTTTCTTATAAGTTAATTATACTAGTCATAAGACATTAGTATTAGACCCATTATATTTTTAGCATTGCACTATTTATCTAACCCCTTGGTGATTTTCAAGAATTAGAAAAGTCCATAATAACAGTATCCCAACTACACTATGTCTGTCATATCCATTGTAAACGACGCATTTAGCACAATCCAAAGCTCATTAGGCTGGCACTAATTCTTGCCAATCCTTAATGAACTAGATAAAACCTTTTCATAATGCACAATAGTCAGTAACCCAAACACCCACAAAAATTATGACACTTTCAAGAGTCATACTCTTAGAGCGTCAAATCATTGCTCATTAAATTACAAGATCTATATACACCAGCTGACTGCTTGCGCTTTAATGATTATATAGATTATACAAATAAATGAAAAATAACAAATTAATGCATAAAAAGACAAAATAAAGATAATATATCAGAGATGCATGAATATATCTAAACCTTAAGTAAATAAAGATACCATAAACATTTACAAGATGAACACCTACCACAAGCGCAGCATTGAGGTACAACTCACTCTCATTTTAGCCTCAATGGCAGGTCCTTTAAAGCGTCTTTGGATTCCTAATTCGCCACCATGATGATTCTTTTGATTAATTTGATCTGGACGAAGGGTCACCTCTTCCAAGCCAGCTCTGTTTGCAGATAGTGGACTTCTTCCTCTAACTGCGAAGGTGGCATAGAGCACCATTATAGATTATCCTCTTCCCAAGTATACACGACCTAGGCCACCATCAATTTGTTTTTTATTTCTTTACAATGCCACTTTAGAATATGGTGATGGTGATAGATGAGGTCGTGGGCAAATCATCTCTTTGTTACTGTTTAGGCAATTCTCAAAACCTCTTGGTTGGAAGCTGCTCAGCCAACAATGACTTTTGTATCATGCTCTTCACCTCATTCATTGTCGAGTGATCCTCATGACATTCCTGACTGGTTGAAATAAGTTGCTCTACCCCAGTGGGAAAGTAGAGAAAGTAAACAAAACAATAATGCTTATAGATTCGGCATCAGGAAAGTACAAAATGTAAAGCAGAATAATAACTAGAATAGAATACCTGTGCTCCACTGCAGAGTTCAGAAGACCTCATCTATGATTCATAGAGGCAGCAATGTACCAATCAAGCTCCTCTATTGTACCCAATTACTTCTATAGCTATCCCAATGGGGGGTCCATACATGAAGACAACCATCGTTAGGACAACACCCGTCTGTTGTAACTGAGCATTAATCATATTTAATCTTGCTAGCTTCTGAGTGGGTATATGAACATGGTTTCAAATATGACAACTTTGGGATTCCGATGAGAGCCAGGAATATAAAAACCGATACCAGATTCTGGTTCAGTGGCCCCGAAAACTTACTCCTAGATCCTAATTATGCCTCAGTGACATTTTGGGTATGTTTTGCCCCCTTGGTAGGGGCTTAATGGGTCCTTACCTGAAAATTTATATGTTAGGACACACGCCCCTAGTACATAAGCACATTTGCTAAGTTTGGTCCTTTTATGTTCTGAGTGGGGATATGAATACATTTTTAAAGATGTTCGGATTCAATTACCCTGAGGATCTATTTCTAGACCTCATCTCATCTGGATGACCTTCTTGGCGAGTTTTAGCCCCCTTTAGTAGGAGGGCTACACAACACATAAATAAGGAAACTCCCGGGCCATCCCGAACCAGCCTGCCAGTATGGTCCTGCTAGCTCCAAAACTGTGGGAGCAGTTCACAGAAAAACGAATAAATTCACACAACGTGAATTAATACAGGATACACGTCATAACAGTAGGCTTCTACTTCGAAGCCTCACGCTTCTTGCGATAATAAAGAAAACTAAACATACTAAGGTTTTGGTTAGATTTCTTTTCTTGAATCTATGTCTTTCGTGTAGCTTCGTTGTACTTCAAGTACATACACACCAAAGCAAAGTATTTCAGTAGTGTTTCTTGCACTATTCCTTAATAAGGAAAACAAGATATAATTACGCCATGATTTAGAATTTTTCTAGAAATGATATTTATTGTATTAACTTGTGCTTTACGTAGTGGATAAGGTGGAATTTACTACACATTTCTATTACATTGTATTATAACAGAATAAAATTGCATTAATTAGGGAATGAATAAACGTAAAACGTAGAAATGTACATTTGTGATAACATTGCATGCAGGCTTATAAGTGTCTAGCACCACAGTAGTCAGAAGACGTCGCTGTGAGTTGTTGAGCATCTGATTTATAATTCTTTCTACAAAAACAGGTTCTGAGTGCAGTGTTGTTATGTTGTTGTAAGTAAGTATTATCACACTTAACCCATAAGTCCAGGTTCATTACATAAAACTTCAACCATATATTCTACCAAGTGTAAAAGTTAGACCTCAGGATAACAGTAAAATGATGCAATCGAAACTCTAAAATATGCTCGAATTTTCATATGTTTTATTAATCCACAAAAGTCTAAAGTGTTGAAATTAAAATACTTGTTTTTATCCATAGGGTTGGAATGACATCAGTTTACACGGATCTCCACAGATTCCTACCCCAAATATTGATGCATTGGCTGCTGATGGCGTAGTGTTGAACAACTATTACGTTTCACCGATTTGCAGTCCTTCTAGAGGTGCCCTGATGACAGGGATGTATCCAATTCATACAGGTAAGTATAAATACAAGTACTCAAAACAAGAACGGTAAAGTGTATCTGATAATAGAGGAGGGAGGATAAAACTGACTTTTTTGTTTGTTATTACATCTAATTTCACTAATAAAAACCAAACAAACCATAGTAAGCAAATTAATTCTTGTTGGGGAATGTTTCGTTTCCAGCCCATTGTAATTCTGCTAAACCATCAGCTATAGCCTTCGCAGTTTCTTATTCTCTGTATGGTCTGAAAACTCTCTGTAAAACTGTGAGGAATGTTTTTTAGGAGCTAGATCTGTTCTATTTAGACAATTACCAAACTTTCTAAAAACTTATCTTTACTATCAGATTCTCCTTTTAATCTTAAACTCTCGAGAATTCTAAAACTGATTGTCTTGTAATCATTTTTACGATATATATATATATATTTGTGTGTGTGTATAAAAGGCCTACAACATTACGTCATAGTGGCTGGAGAACCGTGGGGATTACCTCTTCATTTCAATACTATGCCCCAGCACTTCCAGTGCTTAGGATACACTACGCATGCTATTGGAAAGGTGAGCATTTGCATCCTTCTAATACGTAATACTGTAAGTTCTCTAGTTATATACATTCCCATTGCATTGAATTGTGGCTCAACATTTATCAAATTCAGTTTAATATTTTACCTTTCCAGTGGCACCTTGGTTTCTTTAGAAAGGAATACACACCAACTTTTCGAGGGTTTGACTCTCATTTTGGTTACTGGACGGGCCGTGAAGACTTTTACGATCACACAGCATTCACTGGTGTAAGTGTCAGTCTTGTAAAACTTCGAATATACATGCAGTTGAGTTTTTATTGAATGATTACATTGGATACAGTTTTAGGTAACTCACCGTGTTTTCATAAGTCGTCACTGAGGATATTTCCATACATGAATCGCTGACACAGACTCGTTATGATGGTTTCTACAGAATATGTATGGACTTGGGTCTATAGTTATACTTGTGAAACCATAATGTACTTAAAATATATTCACATAAGAGTAAAACGAAACAGAAAATTTCATCTTCCACCCTACAAATTACGTAAACATACGTTATTGGTTAGTCTGTTTGGCTACATATTTTTATTTTTTTTCGTTTCACTGTATAATACAAAAACACGGCTTTCACGTTATTCAAGTACCACATTAGTATGGGAGTATAATACATATTCACCTGGGGCAAAGTTATGTGGCCTCAAGCTGATTAACTGATTTAAAAAGTGAGCACCATTTGAGACAGGGGGAATGCCACATGACGTCATAGTTTCATCAATAGCATATAAGGGCGGAAAGTTTCAAAATGTGTTGCTAGGGGAGTGTAAAACCACAAAATTTCTGGAAACATTTAGAAAGATACACACAGAACAACAAAACATACCCAACACTAATACATGACAATAAAACAGCATACACTAACTCACAGAAAACAGAACTATTTAACAAACACTTACAAAATATCTTTCAAACACAAAATGATTCAGACATGAATGATTACTTCCGAAATCAAGTAGAAAACCAAACCAAACAAAATATAAACATATTTACACCAACCTTCTCGGTCTCACTCGCAACATAAGAAATCGTACAAACAACATGCTGAATGAATACATGACAAACGAAATAACAGTCACTCAGATTTCTATAGCTATAAAACATACTAAAAACAAAGCATTCGGAGCAGACGATATGCAAGCAATCCTACTTAAAAACGGAACTCAGTTATTACTTGAACACCTAAAGGCACTGTTCAATCTATCCCTGATTTCAGGGTACGTTCCCGTCGCTTGAAAAGAAGCGAATATTCTCATGTTTTTAAAGGAAGGAAAACCAGCAAGTAAGCCACAAAGCTACAGAACCATCAGCCTGACCAGCTGCGTAGGAAAAATTTTAGAAAGAATAATAAGTAGTAGATTAAACAACTACCTAGAAAGCAACTCAGAATTACCTGATGTACAAAACGGTTTCAGGAAATTTCGGCAAACAACAGATCATTTAGTTAGGTTAACTAAAACTGTAATAGATAGCTTTGATAAAAGAGAGTACACGGTTGTTTGTCTTCTCGACCTAGAGAAGGCATTCGAAACCATCTGGCACGTAGGTCTCAGGTTCCGGACGTTAGAGATGGAACTACCGCTAGGAATTATTCGCTGATTATCAAACTAGCTAGAAAATAGAAAATGTAGGGTAAAGGTAGAGTATTTTACTCCTGAGGCAGGTGTACCTCAAGGAGGGGTAGTTAGCCCCATACTCTTCATCATGTATGTAAGCAATATGCCATTAGACGAATCACACTTTTGATATACCTCACAATCTGCCGATGATGTAACTATCTGGAAGAACTCATCAACTCCATCAATTGCGGCCACAAATTTACAGCCACCATTAAATTCCATTGCTGAATATTGCTTAAAGAAAAGAATAAAAATAAACATACCAAAGAGATTACTGAAAATTACCCCAAAATTATACTTCCAAGGAACACCCCCCCCCCAGACAACTACTTCAGCAAAATTTCAGGCGCAACATCAAATAACATATTAAAGATATACATATAGTACATAAGACCAGTAATAATAAAATCAAAAGTAAATTCCAGAAACTACAAATCGCAGTTCTTACAAGCGTATACAAAGTCCCGAGATTAATAAATTCACAAATATGCAAACATCCAACCACTCCACGACAGACTTCTAAGCAGGTCATTCGAATATTTTAAGAAAAACTTCTACAAAAATAAAATGATGGAAATGAGCCTAAGTACCTCTCATCTATTAACATGTACTATAGGTTTAGCAACCAGCCACCTATTGCTAGATTTGCATAATATATCATTTTGTAGTTTATAAGGTAGTATATTAAATAGGGTATTTATGTGAATACTTATAGTGTAAACTACCAAATGACACAACATTGGTATATATAGACTATAAAAGCAAATGTATCCAATGGAAATGATAAACGTTGCACATAAATGGACATGGCCCTGATAAGGGTATTGAATATCATATTATAAACTTTTGTGTATTCAACGCCCTCGTTTATGTTAGCGTTTAACATTCAAACAGTGCATCTATCACATCAGTGCAGAGAAAGGAAGAGGTCAAGTTTGCACCTGACCTTCCCTTGACCATTTGGATCTAAATCCCTATGAAGCAGAAAGTGCGAAAGGGAGTAGACGATGAGAACGTCTATGATTTGCCAGAAGACGTTCGTTACATCAGAGGGCGCCATTGATTGTCAAGCTATGTCATTTCATACAAATATACTACTAAGTTCTTAACAGGATATTGGTTTGTGAATTATCGTTAGCATCAGCATTATAGTTTCAATTCAATAACAGTAATAAACAAAACCTTTAAATACATAAAATTAAAGTTTCATATATTACTCATTGACTAATTTGTACAGTGCACTTCATAAATATTCAGTAAGATAGTATTCAATTTATTAAGACCTATATAGTCCTGTCTCGTCTTGTTATTTTCATTCTTACGTTTGATTTTATCTTCTAATTATTAAACTATATAAGAAATCATTTTGCTCCAACTAGATATTGTAACACGAATTATGCGTTGTCAAACGTTTTTTCTAAACAAATGACTTACTGTAGAACAAAATCCAATAATTAAATAAACTTTTCATGTTTTTCATTAAGGAACATATGATGGGATGTCAAAGCTCCTATGATTATCTGTATATCATTTTGATTTATGTAGTATAAAACACAGTCTCTTTATTAAACTATCTGTATGAACAAAGGTTTTTCAAATAACGTTAGCCATGACACATATCACAGTGGGGAATCCGCAATTAATACGAGGAAATAGTGACCCCACGATAATACAAATATTAGTTTACCCTACTGTCTCTCTGCGTAACAATAATTTCAAACAACTTGTACGACAAAATATTGTGGTTCAGTATGTAAGATCATATAATTTTAACTTAGTTTATGAATGATAAGTATCTATTTAGTGTCAACACTTACCGTTTTATGTTTTGTCGTCCAATAGGATATCACGATTTCTATTATACCTGTAGAGTATCATATTTTTGTGTTCAATTGATTTCTTAAACCTACATGTTTTTATAACAGTTTCTAAGGTTTTTTGTAGAATATTCCCTTTGTAGTACGAAACACTAGAATGTTGAGACAATTAGTAACTATAACGTTTTATAATAAAGAACTCATACCACACATTTAAAATTGACAAACTTCGTTATTTTACACTGAAATCTAATTGATACAAGCTAAACCTTTTACGAGCATGCAACATAACGTAAAAGAATCAGATGTTTAAAGTTCAAAGAAGTGTATATATGTTTTGCAACTTACTGTTAGTGTACAGCATATGACTAATGCTTAAAGAACAATTATTTCTAAGACAAGTTTAGCCTTTTATTATAAACTTGTAAGACGCTGTTGGATGTACAAGACTGTTTAGCTTAATATTTATTATTTAGTTTATTTAGTGAGTTAATATTTAATGATTATTTAGTTTTTATAACAAGAGTGTTGAAGTTAATTATTTTAAAAGTAATTGTTTGTTTGTAATTAAGCACAAAGCTACACAATGGGCTGTCTGTGCTCTGCCCACCACGGGTATCGAAACCCGGTTTCTAGCGTTGTAAGTCCACGGACATACCGCTGTACCACTGGGGGGCTTTAAAAGTAATAGTTATGACAAGTTTGTTACGTAACTCTATACGAGCCGTACGTAGTGTATGCAGTTTGATTGTTGTACTAGGCTTTAGTAATAATGTTCGTCATCTTATTAGAAGCTTCCAAGTTTCTAGTTATGTGTAATATTGTTGCTACTAGAAAGCTAGATACTTCTAGATTTTTCTGCCGTGTCTTATAAATACTTGCAGATACAGCAAGTTAAGGAAGATAGAAAAAAGTTAATGAAAGAAAACGTGAAGTTAGCTGGCGTGTGAGCGATTAGCCTTAACGGGTGATTTCTGTAGTGTGTTTCACAGCTGTATTGTAACAACGGAGATAGAAAAATAATCTATCTTGTCAATTGGATTTTAAAGTAACTGAACCAACCTGTGTGGACTTTTGATGTAAAATAGAATCATTTAAAGCTCTGGATACGACTATGGTAACCTACGGGGTAACATAAGTGGTAACCTACGGGGTAACATAATTGAATTTATCACTGATTCTATTATGATAACAGAGAGGAGAAGAAATCTTTGTCTTGTCAATTGAGTTTTAAAGTAAGTGAACTAGCCTGTGTGGACTTTTGACAAGAAAAGAGAATTATTTAGAGTTTGAGATGCAACTGTGATATCCTATAGTGTAAAGACTTTTTGTATTTTCGTTTGACTTGTTTTAATATATTATTTTATTGTTCGAGTTTATCGCCAACAAGTCACAGACACCTACTGTAAAAGAACTCAGCCTACATATATAAAACCTTGACATATGGAAAAATGAAAAACATCTGAATTAACAAAGTTGCCTAAAGTAAGAGAGATAAGTAGTTATATAACCGTACTTGAGAAACATGTACTTCAACAATGTTATCAAATACAAAAGAGGTGGGCAGCTTTATATCTAACTAGACGTACTTTTGAACACCGTTTGGCACATAGATCAACGACGATGATACAGATAAATGAGTAGTTAGTCATGATATCATTTACCTGTGAGATTTACAATTTTATCTTATAGTACAGCAAAATACATCTGTACAGCTTAGTGTATTATATAGGTTAAACGTTGATTTAAATACACCAATGAGGGTCGTAAGGTGACAAACCCAAGAGAGAGAGAGAGAACGACAACTTGAAGATCTTGGATACTAAATATTTGTTAAGAAGAACAATATTGATTCACAGTATTTCATCATAGATCATCATCCATGTAGTTCATCATCTTGATGTCTGTGATACTTTCTATGTAGGCAGAATCTATGTCATCAGGTTCTTGTACAACATAAAGTATGGAGAATGCGTTAAATACATCGACACTACCTCACTCCATTAATTGAACCAATAAGTACTATGAGTATCCAGTGGGGCATTCAGCTATATCTACTACAAATGTTTTAAGTTTGGTTTTGTCAAATGTAAAATCTTACTCCCAATGAAACTCCATCGTCCATTTCTCACTTTGATAAATCTGTATGTTTTAGAACAAAGCCACACTGGGATATTTTCTGCGTCCACGGGGAACCAACTCCAGATGTTAGTGTCCCACCAGGGGATCTGTGAGAAGTCGTGAAAAATAATTTTTTCATCTATGTAAAACATTTGTAAGAGAAAGATCACCGCCCCCCCCCTCCCCTGTTCAGCACTCGGATGAAGAACTAACGTTTATTGGAATCTGGGTAATACAAATTAAGAAAGCTTTTGAGTGTGAATAATAGATAAACAATATTTACGTCATTTTACTTGTAAATCTTCTCATCTTTTCAGATATATTTTTAAAACTTAAATAGGAAAGTTAATGAGTCCGGAGCTTATTTATATTAACCCTGGAGGAAGATCCATTTCCAAACTATGCCTAAACCTCTTTTGAGACTATTGGTGTATGTCTCAAGACAAAAGTTAACTGACGTACATATATCATATGTATTATACATTAATGAAAGATTCTTCTAACATTTATATAGTTGTTACACTTATGAACATTGAAGTCTCTATAACTAAATTAGACGAAAATCTTTGTGGCTCACCACCATTCAAGCTCGCAGGAACAGATTTGGTTTTCATTCGATTATTTTATGAGTCTTACAAAACAGAAGTCAGTTTCAAAGAAAACTTCGTGAACATAAAGATGACAAACGAATTGTAAAGTGTTTGACATTTACAGACTATAATGAGATGCTTAAATCATTCGATACGGAAAAGACAGTTAATCCGATTCTTACATCAAAATTTATCAACATGAAAACATTGGTACAATCTTTTTTTTTAATTTTATAAAATCAATTCATTGTTTGTTCTCTTCAGGAATTTTATATAATGCCTTAAACAAAAATCTAAATACACTAACGCCTTTTTTCTTTAAAGAAAAAAATCCCATGTAGTACTTAAAGAGTCATTATGTATTCATGGAGTTTCCAAAGTTGACTTTTAACTTAGTGTATAGATATGAGTATGATATGTAGGATAAATATCTGGAGTGTGAAAATTATGTTAATGAGAAAATTTTGTCCTTTTTTTTTTAGGTCTATATTGTAATTTACCTGATATGTATATAAACCTTGCAGTACGTTATACGAATAGTCGAATTCAAACTCTTTGTTATTACAAACTGAATACACAATCTCACCGTCCGTTTTTCGCTTGGTCTTACAACTTCAGTTAATGATTTTATCTTGTAAACATGTAGCATTTAGATGTTTTGGGTTAACATTCGAAAAAATCCTTTGTGTAGATTGTAAGTGAAACTAACATATGGATATTCATATGTTTAAATCCTGAAGTATGCTATACATAATATAACAAACGTGAAGCATATGTGTAGATTGTAAGTGAGACTAACATATGAATATTCATATGTTTCAATCCTGAAGTATGCTACACATAAGATAACAAACGTGAAGCAACTTCTCCAGCGTTTCTAGAACATGCTATAAACCTTAATCAGCAACTTGTGACTCGCAACACAAATAATCGATTGACTTTAATAAAATTGTTTTTCAAAGCATATCAGTGCCGCTACATTTATGTAATTTGACATTTTACATATTAAGCAACATAATACAGTCAGTTTGTATATCCGAATTAATGATTGAAGTTCATGTTCTAATCTTTTCTTTACATTTTCACAGTTGAATGACACATAAAAAGCTCAATATCATTGTCCATTCCCGGGAAGAATTCTACCTTAAAAATGCTGGAACTAATCTATTACCATTAAGATAACGAAAACAATTTCTTAATCAGAATATGAAACTTTCAATGAACGCTTTACCGCTACATATTCAGTTGTGATAATGTAAAGAAAAGAATTGAACATGAACTTTGATTGTTGAATATGGGGTGGACTAAAACTTATCCAAGATAAGGAGATGTTGTTGAATTACGTAATTTCATGTTGTATGTTAACATTAACATATTTATAATGTTATACATGTAACACAATATTACGATATTTTTATAAGTTTTATGTAAAACGGTTGTTTTTCAGGCTGGCTGGGGATTAGATTTTCATGACAATCTCACTACTGTGTCCGATGCTTTAGGCAAGTATGCCACCAACATTTTCACTGAAAAGGCTATAAAAATAATAGAGCAAAACCAGAACACTAAGGTAAGTGAATATTTTAATTTTAAAATATTCTATAATATAATTACATGCCTCAATCTTTACTAGCAAAAACAAGTTCACATATTTATGTAATAATACGAAAAGAGGTAAATTAGTATAATTTTTTATCCTAATTATTTTACGTTAAGGCGACCTCTTTGCATGATGTGCAATTAAGGGTTCATAATAAAAGTGAAATGACAAACTTAAACAAGAATATATAAATGAATATTCAAATCACCACCAGGTTCGAAATATCGTATTTTTTATTTATATTTTTTATTTTTTAAAGTATCTTTTGATATTTCGAACCTCATGTTGCTTTGAATATTGATATATATTTATTACGCTCGAGAAGACCAGATCATGTATATATGCTATAATGTCTGTTGTATATTAGTTTCTACTGCTAACACCATGTCTCATCGCTGGCTCTTGTCTCTATTTCACGATTAAATAAAATATTTTGCCACGTAGCAACTCGTATTCGAAAGGTTGTGACACTTCAGATCACATACTTACTTACTTAGTTGTAAACTTGCCACCAGTAGCAACCTTCATCAAAAATATTCCTTGCGCATAAAATTAATTTCAACAATTTTTCAATGAATTCTTTCAGCACGGGTTCAGTCCCTAGGACCGACCTCGTAACCATTTTGTGCTTGTTATAGTTTTTATGCTATAACTTATAAATTAGTAAGCGAATGTTAACGGCATTTGGCAGATTGTCAGTAAACATTACAATGCTTTCATACGCACAATATATTTTTTTTTTATTAAGTGATAAGGTTTATAAAGTAATGTTTTTCTCATGTCTATTTTTTCTTTTCGCATGTTGCCTATCTATCATACAAAGTAATATTCATTTTAAGATTAAAAATATTTTTATGCATTAGAAAATTTTGAAATTTCACAAGCGAAATCTTTATAATGTGGACATGGTTCTCAAATGTTTCTTAAAAAAAAACTTTATATTTTATCTGTTATTTTCAGTAATTAATCTGTGTATGGGTTTGGTAGATTTGACCGATCTTGCAACCACCATGAAAAAATTAGGAAATAAATATAAATTATTCTTCTTTTATCCTAAAATTAACACAAATTATAACATGAAAATATAAATGTTTAGACTGAATAGCTTAAATCCCATAGCATTATACATTTATATATATTTATGATATTGACCTTTCAGCGCTTGGCTGACAATACAGAAGTTACAATGACGGGGCTAATGTGCACTCAATGTACCCTATCAAATAACATAAAACTGACCGTTGGTCTGTGCAAAATAACTTGTCTTGGTTGTATTTTAGTCTAGTATTTTGTAAAATACAGTCACATTTCAACTATCATACTGTTACGTCTCCGTTTGTTAAGTAACTTTCCGTAACTTCGTTCCGACGAAACTTTAGCGACACAAGTCTTTACTTAATAAAACTGGTTTATTCTTTCCGAATATAACTTTACGATACACTTAATTTCAATATTCGCGCTAAAACAAACACTATAACGAACGAACGTTAACTTCAACAATACGTCTCTTTCTGACTGCAGTTCAATTACTCATTACACACACATTACCTTCCGTCACGTTTTCACCCTCTTTTATATACCAGAATACCCTATATCTAGTAAATGCTAGAGCATTCGCCAAGGTACAGGATAGTTCTAGAAAATAGGTGACGCCACACAAGTCACGTGACCTCGATGACGCAACACTGCCCCTCCTTAGTATTGTTCGTCCCGAACAATAGCCACTTACAATAAACCAATAACAATTAACAATAGATTAATTAGAATGTACAGAATTACAAACACAAAATTACAATTCAACAAAGTTTCTTAATTTTACGGGACGTATCTTCTTCCGTACTGGTCTCCGTCTCGTTGGCTTCTGCTTCATGTAGGATTCATCTGCTTCATCAGTAAATGTCCTATCATCGGTAACAGTCACATCAGTGGTAGTAACTTCACCAAGAGCTTCACCGTTTCCCTTTTCAAAACTGAGAGAGTTTCTTCTTCGATGGTGGCTTCTTCAGGCGTCATTTGTTCTGTGGTCCACTTCGTCCCAACTTGAAATAGACCTGGACCGTGAATAACGACCAAAGCCTGTTGGCATGCACCAC